GGGTAATTCCCTGTCAGCAGTCATCCTCTCTCGTTAACCCTCTTGCTGTTGCTGTCCAGGCACAACGAGGATGGCAACGAAGAAGAGGAAGAGTTCCCTCCGACCACAGAGGTGACAGCCGAGTCCTACCCCAACTGGCTGCGCTTCCACATCGGGATCAACCGCTACGAGCTGTACCCCAGACACAGTCCYGTGCTGGAAGCCCTGCTGAAGGACCTGGTCACGCAGAGGATCAGCAGCGTGGGTGAGAGTTCTGCTCCCCACCACCGTGGGTGTCCAGCTCAGGGGTTGGTGGGACAYGTTTTACAGCAAAGAAAACAGTCACACTAATMCRRTAGAAAGGGGGTCATTTTGAAAATSAAAACAACTCTGTTCAACCTTAAGACACTCAGAGCTGGATATTTRTATTTCAAAGAGTTTGCTCCCTTACTCTGTGGCTCATAAACCACTGAGAAGCACCTCAACTAGTGGCATATTTGTGCTGTAATAAGACATAAAATCTGTCGTCACTTGAAGGGAAGAAAGTTTGAGCAGCACCTGAACTTTAACCACTCAGCAAACAAACAAGACCAGATTAGGAAACCTGGGAGACGAATTGACGAGTAAGGTCTACAAGTGAACATACTCAGAATGCTTACACAGATGTGTGTTTTTTAAGTTGTTTGTGTTGTAATTTAGTTGGCCCACCCTTTCTTTTGTCTGCAGAAATGCCTCCCTGTGCAGTGATTGTGTGTCCTTGAATGCGWACTACCAGTTCCCCGTAATAAGCGCACAGCCTCACTACTTATCTGTCGTGCTTAAATGACAAAAAACAGAGACGACATTAGAAAGTTCACCTCGTCAGCGTTTTATCCCAAGCAATGGTTTCTGTCCCTCAGCTGGAGCTGGCCTTTTGTTCAGAGTTCAGCTCATAAATCATAGAAAAGGCWCAGGTGAGAGTACGATGGATTCATCATCACGGCCCTGCGAGGAGATGCTTGGAACTCTCCAGGGGAAAAACAATGTTTTGTTGAAAGTTACAGTCGAAGCCTGACATTTTTTATTATTATTATTATTATTCAAAGGCAAATTCATTTACAAGTTGGGGGCGGGACTTAAAGATTGTACTGGTTCTGTTCCAGCTTCAGCTTTTAGTTTTCTGTTCAATGTTTTTTTTACAGTTGATGTGTAAAAGTAAGGTCACTGATGATGATGTCATCAAGGCAAGGACCCACAGATCGTAAGCACAATTATTTTACAGAATATTACTAAAGCATAACTTTATATTTTGGTTCCTGTTGCAGGAAGCACGTTGGCACATTTCAAATCAACAGTATGCTCAGGCATGGCCGCTGCTGATTGTTTAAAAACAGCAAAAACTGGACAAGTTAATCAGCTTAAAGATTAATYGATCCTACTCTATTTATGTCACAACTTTCAAAGTCAGTCCATTGATTTCCAATTTTGAACAAATGCATCAACATGCTCTTTGAGACTGGCCACTTGAGCAAATCCATCACGTGTCCAAACCTAATACGCCTTGACTTTTTTCTTTTAAGTTTAACTCAATCCGTTGTCCTTTTTTTTCTGTTTGAAAGAAATGGTGATGTATCGCTGTGTGCAACAGTACATAAAAAATCCTTTAAAACTGAGTCACAGTCGAAAGAGAAGCTTTCTGGCACTGAGTGAATCGACCTGAGACAGAAGGACGATAACAGAACGTGAGAACAAKGATGAAGTATCCAAACACAAGAAGAGAGGGAAAACAGTAAAACTAAATGTGAGAGCTCCAGACAGTCGGTGAACACCAAATACAGATTTATGTAAAAGTGCTCTGGCAGGAAGCGGGTCCACAACTCTGGACTTATTCTGGGATTACAGAAGCGTCGTGTTCCGTATACACWCAAGTTAAAGGCACAGTGTGWAGGATTTGTTGTTTTCAGCGACATCTAGTGGTTGAGTGGTTGAATCATCCTCCCTGGTCCTCCCCCCACCCTCACCCCCCACCCTCTCCAAACGCAAACGAGTTGCTACGGTGTCTCTCAGGTGTCAAAAACCTTTGATAATTCCAAYCGCGATGTCTACCAGCAGCTTCAGGGCTAGTGATGTTTCAAGTGGTAAGATTATGAGCTTTAATAAGTAMAATTATCCCAGCTACAATGACAGACAACAAATATTACATTTATAGTATTACAACTAAAACTGTTTTTGACGCCGCCACCGCAGTTTGTCCTTCATGAGCCTTCGTAGACAAGATGGCGGCTGCCTGTAGGGTGACCCGCGACCATAGAGATATAAACAGCTTTTTATAAGGTAAAAATAATAAAACAAGGTCTTTGTCTGCAATGATTAGACGTGTTTTTTATTATTGTCATTAGTGATTATCTCAATTTCGGCTAAAAGAATTGACAAAATCCTACACAYTGTGCCTTTAATGTGTTGTAATAAATGGGCAAATCCACCCAAAAGCCTGTTCATTGTGTCAGAAACACAAGTCATTTAGACGGGCCTGGCGGTCCTTTTGTTTGAGTAAGAGGGAAGCAGGACGCTCACAGTCGGTCTCCATCCCCCTGTGGGAGACAACATGGACATGACTGATAGTTGGAGACACGAAGCCCCGCCTCCACTGCCCAAGAACAGGAGGTCAGTTTGACTGAGTGACAAAGGAAGCGTGCAAATGGGCACAAGATGACACAAGTGATGTGTGGAACGGAGAAACCCTCAGTGRGACTTTGATTCATTTTGTTTGGCCTTCACTCAAACCCAGAATAAGCTCTTCTTTGTCAGTGGATGCATTTTGTTTTTACGACCATTATCTATCCATCACTTTAGTGCTCAGTCACCCGCCGTGGCGCTTCGAACTGCCGTAAATTCACTTTGATTGTTCAGCGTTTGGCAAATTAATCAGCAGATGTGCAAACGTCATTCTGAATCCACGCAAAATTGCATTATTGTCAAATAACAAAACAGCTGTAGTTAAGTGTGAGTGTTTGAGTTGTAATCTAAAGTCTCACTTGTTTCCTCCTCCCAGCCATGAAATCAGGAGGCACCCAGCTGAAGCTGATCATGACCTTCCAGAAYTACGGACAAGCCCTGTTCAAACCAATGAAGTAAGTAATGCGGGAATGGATTCTATCATTTCACACTTAACACCACATTTAGATATACAAGCCCCAATTCAGAAAAAGGCAGGCTTTTACATGAAATGTAAAAAAGTAGAAGCGGAATGCAATGAATGCACATCCCAACAAATTGGGACAGGACGGAAAAGGCTGTCCAAAGTGGTATAAAAAGAAATAGCTGATTAATTCAGCTAAYTGSGTTAATTGGCAACAGGTCAGTAAGAGGACTGGGTATAAAGTRAGAATTTAGAGTCTGAGTCTCTTAGAAATAAAGATGGGTAAAGGCTCACTGGTCTGCAAAACCAAACATTTTTGAAGTGGCGATCTCCACTCGTGATGTCACGCATATCATTATCTGCCGCTCTCTCAAGTGATCAGACAATCRGTGTGGTCCTGTGTTGGTCTTTTACCTCTGAKYAAATGTTTGGAGCAGACGRTGAGTCGTATAGTTGGATTTTTCAGCTCTTGCAATCACTTGAATCCAGCAGTTAGCCTGTGTCTTAGCTTGGGGAAAGTCACAAAAAAATACTCCTTCCRTGYGGGGACGATGRCTGTGTCCTGAGTCACCGTTGCGAGAACTGTAGCACAATGTTTTGTTTCCCTCCCCATGAAGTTTCTTTAAACACAGCTGAACTTCGCATTGTGTTTGAAAACCAACCAACTGCTACCAGATTTTGCAGGGCGTTGAGCGGATGTAGTCACGTGACTTGCGTTCTAAAAATAGCCCGAGTGGAGATTCCCATTGGATTTGTGGATCTTTGCCTGGATTTTTCAAACATTTGTCTGTGTCTTCTTTAAAACATCAAACTAAACGATCCTCAGACTTTGTCCTTATGTGATTTATTTTTATTATATGTTTCCTGATGAATGAAGCTGCCTTCTTTTAGAGTACTTATCTTCTCACACCTCCCCTCCATGTGATCTTTTTCTGATTGGGAATTGCTGCCTGCTTTTTAATTAACATCGTCAGGCTTATATGTTAATTAAAACAAGCACTGAGCCGTCATGAAGTGGTCTTTAGGGAGGCGTACGTGCTGGCRAAAGCACTTTGAACGCAGAATACCTTTCCGTCTCGGCTGTCTTGAGTTTTTCCCCGATGAATTCCCACGTCGACGCAGATAAATAGCGCCTGGTTCGATTGCTATGAAATGCAATAAATAAATAAATAAAGTTTTCTGCATGAGAACCCCTGTGGAGAACATTAGAGTGAGTGGGAAGAGAGGTGCAGTAAGAAATACAGTCCATGTTTGTGTTAAGACTTGAAGAAGGATCGTGAGTGACGCTCATAACCAGGAATACTTTGTGATAGTTATTTTTTAATCATTTCATCTATAAAAAGGCTGTTTAACCTGCTATCCAAAGTCACATTACTCAGTATTCCTGGTCTCTTGCAGGAATTGTGAATTTTAGATGTTTTATTTCATTGTCATCTTGAGAAACAATACCTAAATGTGAAGATTTTTATTTTATTTTTAAGAACCATGTGGTAAATTTGAATGAAACTTGTGCTCTAATTTAGAGCGGTTGTAGCTGAGAGTCATTCTAAACATATAATCCAAGTGTGACTCAGGTCAGAGTTTCATGATTTTTTTTTACGTCTTGTTTTCAAACTAAACCAGAGGGTGTTTTTGAGAGAACTTGTTCACAGAATTTGCCTCAGCATATGCTTCAGACTTAAGAGGAGGAATAAATCTGCTTTAGTTTTCATACATAAAAACCTTTCTGCCAAAACAACAAAAAAACACCCAGCGGGGATCGTCTGACGAGAACAGAGGTTGCCCTGGGCTCCTCTGTGTCCCTGTGGATGACTCATGGGTTGCCTCTCAGCRACGTGGACAATCGGACAATATGTGCACGTGCACGAGCTGTCTGTGAGTGTAGGGGTCAGTGGCAGGGTGGGTCAAAGACACAGGGGCAGAGTTACATCCTGAAGTGGTGCTCGGGGCAAAGTGTGACATTATTTATCAAGAGATTCATAACACAGTTGGAAAGAATGTGGAGATTAAACGATTTATAATGACTGAAAAGGTCATTTTTTAAAATAAAATTCATTTACTAGTCTCATTAAAATGCATGTAATTATTTTTGCTTTATTGTGCTTTTTTAAATTAAACTGTCAAATCTTTGGATTACACTAAATCATTGTGTCATGTTAGTTTAAATAAATGGTAAATAGACTGAACTTATATAAAGCATATACAATATATATA